TAGGGATTTCAACTTGGCTTCAGGAAGGTAATCAAACCACAGTTTTTCTTTTCTCTATCCCACTCCTCTTGTTTCTGGTTTTAAAATCAATACTTCCAGCTCTTTGTAAGCATGATATAAATGCATCTACTTCCAGTTGTTGGTGACAATGCTTAGACTGACATACAATGCCTTATATTTTGAACCTTTATGGCAATTCATGGGCAATATGAAATTCTCATTTAATATCCAAATTTGCAAGCTACTTTTATTTATTACCAAAAATGTGCTACTAGTATTATCACTGAATGATTCTGAGACTCTTAAATTATTTAAAAAATCGTTTTCCATGTTCTGCTCCTAGAATCTTAATTTCCATTTGTTCTGAAAGCTTAATCTTTTCGTATTTCACACCCCACTACCCCCAAAAACAACATTATTGTTTTGATAATTAAAAGAGTAATCCTGCATTGAACCACTGTATTCATTTATAAGAGTTACACTATTAAAATTAGTTAAAGTATAACTACGAGAATGTTAAACAAGCCTGGCGCCGTGACTTATGCCTGTAATCCCAGCACTTTGGGAGGCCAGGGCAGACGGATTGCCTGAGGTCAGGAGTTTGAGACCAGTCTGGCCAACATGGTGAAACTCTGTCTCTACTAATACAAAAATAAAAAATTAGCCAGGCATGGTGGCACATGCCTGTAATCCCAGCTACTCAAGAGGCTGATGCAGGGGACTTGCTTGAACCAGGGAGGTAGAGGTTGCAGTGAGCCGAGATCTCACCACTACACTCCAGCCTGGGCGACAGAGCAAGACTCTATCTTTGAAAAAAAAAAAGAAAAAAGAAAAAAAGAAGTCTGCCCATAATTTATGAAGCCACAGGCCAAAGATAAAACATTTACCTAGAGGGTCAAGCCCGCTTGTCCTAAAAATACCCTCCTAGACTGGAAAAGATCTTTAATTTTTTGGTTGTTGAAACTTAAATTCTTTGTGGTTGACTGATTTTGGGAGTTTTAATGCTGTCAGTGAGAAATAAGTAGAGGAAAGTTTATAAAGAAAAGCATCCTTTACCCGCTAAACCCTTAGAATCCCCTATTATATGTTTTAAGATCCAAATGTACTTCCTCACTGAAACTTCCAATGTATAGATCTCATTCTCTGTAATCAATGAAACTACAAACACTTAATTTCCAGGAGCATGCCAGTTACATCCACTTCTATTAAGTATTGCAAGTTCTTAGAGCTCTGTTTGTTGAGGTAATAAATGAATGAATGAATGAATGAATGAATATACTTCTCTTTCCAGGCTCTGGGATTTGGTAAGTAAAAAAGAATTTATCCTAAAGAACCATGTAGTACAGATCTTATTCACCCTGGGACATAAACCTACATCTTAACATATAGATCTACTTTTCACCTCGTAGGAAAATTAAATTACTTTAATAGTAATAGAACATATCTTCTTATGTTTATTGCTCTTTCTTAATTCTTTACTCCTTCAGAAATGAAATTACAGCGCCCTGTAGAACCGCGCTTTCTAACCAGGGCACCAAAGGAGTCTGAACCAACATGAATGGATCCCATGGATTTAAGTGTCCATAATGTCCAGGAACTTCAAACAGTCCTATATAATGGGGATAAATTGGACAAGAAGGTGCAAAATGAGTCTCATCTCGAGAGAGAAGAAAAGGAAAAATCAGGCAGACCGCTAAAGCTAGTCCTCGGTGAAACAGCCTGAAAAATCACAGTTTCAGGGACGAATAGAGTAGCCTGAAGAAAAACCAAACTGCAGCTGCACTGATGAGAAAGCAAGGCCCAGCGTAGAAGCCTTTTGTTCTTTGTGGATTAGTAAGCTCCCAGGAAAAAGTTTCCTCATGCTTTCAGGCAATACATAGTGGGTTTCCTAGGAACTCGCACAGGGGTGGTGGGGAGTTACCTGAAACAGAACTACCGTTACACAAACAACAGAAGTTGTACTTTGTGCTACCCAAGACATAACCACAGATTTGCAGATAAGGAAAGTTGCACAGACAGCTTCACAGATATGGGAAGTTACACAAACAACTACAGAGACGAGGGGAGTTTCTCATAAAAGCTTTTGGATTCAACTGTAGAAACGGCAATCCATTTTGGCCTCATTTTTACTGTGGAGAGCTTTCTTTTGCTTATTACTTTCGCTCAAACCTCACCCTTGTGTCCACACTTACTAATTTTCTTGATTGTGAGACAATGAGCTCAGATAACACTTTAGACAACGAGACCATTGACCCTAGATAGTTTCAATTTCTCCTAACATGTCTCCAACACTGGTATCACTCTTTGGGTAGAGCCAGTGATAGAAGCGATGATTTGGAATTTCTGAAACCATGGCTTTGGTTTTTTTCAAAGAAGCTACTTTGAATTGTATGTTGCCAACTCAATACCACATACGACTTTTTTTTCTACTTTTATTTTAGGTTTAAGGGGTATATGTGCAGGTCTGTTACGTGAGTAAATTGCACGTTGCTGAAGTTTGGGCTACAGATGATCCCATCACCTAGGTAGTGAGCATAGTATTTGATAGGTCATTTTTAAACCATCACTCCCCTTTCCCTCTCTAGTAGTCCCCAGTGGCTATTGTTCCCATCTTTATGTCCACGTGTAGCCAGTGTTTACTTCCCACTTGTAAGTGAGAATATGCAGTATTCGGTTTTCTGTTTCTGCATTAATTTATTTAGGATAATGGCCTGCAACTGCATCCACATGGCTGCAAGAGACATGATTTATTTTTTTATGATTCTGCAGTTTTCTCGTATTTGACGTTTTTAATTGTTCTATAAATGCAGAGAAGACACTGGGAGGCCATTTTCCAGAATCCCCTTATCAGTATAGTTCTATCTTAAAGTTTTTCAGTGAGAGTATTTTGCTCAAAATTTGGAAGTTGTAAGAGAAGCAGAGGCCATTATTTTCCAGAGGTATTTATAGTCAAACTGCAGAGCAAGGTGAGATCCATAGCAACTTCTTATTGAGTGTTTGAGAACTACATGCTTTACTGCTAAGGCTATTGGTTAGAACTTTCCCAGAAATTACTGAAAGTCACTGCCATTTCCCACTGAGCTTTCTTGAATCATTCTCTGTAGGGCTTTGAGCTGAAATCTCTAGTTCTAGTTTCCTCAACCTTCATCTCTGGTTCTCAGACTTTTGCTTCCCTTCCACTCTTCAAAAGAAGGTTGAGTCTTGGAGCCTGCTGCATAAAAAAGAGTGTAAGTTAATTTAGGTAGAAATGGGCCACTAAAATGAGCAACAAAATGAGGAACTGAGATCCTCCATGTGTATCCGTTTTCTTTTTTTTGTCCCTTTAGAGACAATTTTTGAAGCTCCACTGCCTCAGAGAATAGGATTGAGAAGTAGAGTCACCAAGATATAGGGCAAAAATTCCTTCCAACTAACTCCCATTTGTTGGATCAGCTTATTTCTAAAAGACATTATAGGAGGATAGAGGCTTCAGGGATTGGCAATTCAGAGTATGGAATATAATCAGTTTTCACACTGATCAAACTAAATGGTTCAGTTATGTGAAGATATTCCTCAGAGAATAAAAATACCAAAGTATGGGATAAAGGAGAAAATGCTGGCTGTCACAAAAGGACACTAGATATTCTGCGAAATTCTATCAACAAAAAGGAATGAACTATGAATGCATGCAATAGCATGAATGAAACTCAAAAAATATTATGCTGAGCAAAAGCAGCCATACATAAAGTTCACACAGTATGCCCTCTTTAATAAGAAATTCCAGGCTGGGTACCATGGTTCATGCTTATAATGCCAACACTTTGAGAGGCAGAGGCAGGAGGATTGCTTGAGCTCAGGAATTTAAGACCAACCTGGGAAACAGCAAGACCTCATCTCTACAAAAATTTAAAAATTAGCTGTGTGTGGTGGTGTGCACCTGTAGTCCCAGCTACTTGGGACGTTGAGGTGGGCGGATTGCTTGAGCTCAAGAGTTTGAGGCTGTAGTGACCCATGATTATGCCACTCCACTCCAGCCTCTGAGACATTGTCTTAAATATACATATATATATTATATAAAATATATTAAGAAATTCCAGAAAAGACAAAACAAGTCTATAGTGACTGAAAGAACACCAGTGAATACCTCAATCCGGTGACAGATGGGATTAGAGGTGGGAGATGGAGAATGACTAGTTCAAGTGATTTTCATGCCTCAGCCACCGAATAGCTGGGATTACAGGCATATGCCACAACACCGGCTAAGTTTTGTCTTTTTCAGTAGAGACAAAGTTTCACCGTATCAGGCTGGTCTCAAACTCCTGACCTCAGAAGATCCACCCACCTCAGCCTCCCAAAGTGCTGGGATTACAGGCATGAGCCACTGCACCTGGCCAAATTAAATTATTTTTATCCCCCAAAACAACCAAAAATGTTTACTAATATTCTTAATCATTGAAACTCTCCAGGTGAATCTTCTACAGTAGACTAATTTATTTGCCTATTTTATACTCTGATTACAGCATCCTGGAACCTTTAATTTTTTTCTTCATCTTTCAAGGTCCATCATAAGCAATGATTTCTTGAGTGGCTACTTTGATCTTTAAAATTAATCAGGTTTTCTACCTCGTTTTTATCGCAACATCAATTACATAATATAATAATTATCAGATTCTGTGTTTTTGACTGTTTTAGGAATGCAAGATACTTAAGAGCAGATACGATGCTTAGCAATTAACACACATGTTGAAGTAATTGTCTCAGTATATCTAGCAATGTTCACGGGTACAAAACATTCAGTACATAAAACTATTATTTATGGAAGAGCTATTTCTAGGCATAGAGGAAATTTAATATTTTAGATTGAAGAAGGTAGTTTATCACTAGAGAGTAGGAAGATCTACTCAGAAAGAACAAGAGAGCTGCAGAGAACACAGAGATGCAGTAAACCTAATACGATACTATTCAAGCGGAGAAATGGAATAACTCTGAACTAAGGTAATTTATTGAAGACTGCATTCAATTTTCCCATTCATGTTCCAACAGTATATTATTTATATCCAAATTTTGTCTTGTTTAGAAAATAACAAAATCTTTGAAGCATATCCTTGAGAGCTTCTTTCACCTGCTGGTTCCTTAGAGTATAAATGAAGGGATTGAGTAAAGGGGCAACAGAGGTATTGAGCACAGCTACTCCTTTAGTCAAAGTCACCCTTTCTTTTGCTGATGGTTTCATATACATAAAGATACAACTCCCATAAGTAATAGAGACAACAATCATGTGTGAAGAACAAGTGGATAAAGCCTTGGTTTGCTGTTGAACAGAAGGGAATTTTAGAATGGTTTTGATGATGTATGTGTAGGAGAAGATCACTAACAACAACGTGATGATGAGTGTCAGCACAGCTAAGATAAAAGCCATTAATTCTATAAAACGTGTATCTGAGCAAGAAATCTGTAGAATAGGAGAAGTGTCACATAAGAAGTGATCAATAGTTTTGGAAGCACAGAAATCCAGCTTGAGTCCCAAGACCAAAGGGGGAAAGATGATTAGGAATCCAGTTACCCAAGAGATGAATACAAGTTCGTAGCACACTTTGCTGCTCATAATGATTGGATAATGCAGTGGTTTGCAGATGGCAATGTAGCGATCATAGGACATGGCAGCCAGGAGGTAAAACTCAGTAACTCCTAATAAAAGGAAGAAGAATAATTGAGTTGCACAAGCATTGTAGGAAATTGTCTTGTCTCCAGTCAGAATGCTTGTCAAGAATCGTGGAATGCAAACAGTTGTGAATGAAATTTCTAAGAAGGAGAAATTTTGGAGGAAGAAATACATTGGAGTCTTGAGCCGTGGATCCAGCAGGGTGAGGAGAATGATGGTTAAGTTCCCCATCAGGCTCAGGATATAATTACAAAATAGAAACAGAAAAATCACAATCTGTAGTAGAGGGTCATTTGTCAGTCCAAGCAGAGTGAACACTATGTCCATTGATTGGTTCTTCATTTTTCTTTTGTCCTGTGAAATCTGCAGAAAATAAAAACTAATATCACAAGTAAGAAAATACATTACTTCATTCTGAGCCCTAGAAAGTTTCATATTTAGAAAGTTACCCATGCACAAATATTTTCACAAGTCAACTTAGATTTCATAAAAATGAACACATCCACCAATTCATCAGTCATGTTTATAAGAATGTTAAAAGATTCTTCTCTTGTCCAGAGTTAAATAAGTCCTACTTGCCACGTTACTGAAAACTTTTCACTCATTTGAAATAAGTTTCATACTTCGGTTAGCGTTAACTTTTGATTCATCTTTCAAGCACTTTATCCCAAAAGGCAGTTTAAATAGTAGTTTGAAATTTCTGAATTTAGCTAACACTTCAAGTGACTTGTTACTTAAGAGAGTCTCTTATTCATCATCACGTTCCATTTCATATTTATTCATTGATATATATTTATCCATCATCAAGTTCAATTTTATATTTTATTTACTTAGTTTTTGTGTTTACGTTCCTACAGTTTTTGTAGCTCCACTTAGGTGCCTATTCGTACTTTATCAATTGCCTTTAGATTCACCACTTTTCCGGTAAGTCATTAACAGTGCCTCAGTGCCTCAATTCTATATGACTGAAGTATATCAAACAGAAAAACTAAAATTGGTCTTTCTATGTTTTATCTTCCATTTTTCTTTAATCTGTTTATAATGGTTTCATATTTCTTTCTTTTGTAAATACAGTAAGAAGCTATATATTGTTTTATTTTAAATGCAAAATGATTTTAAGTACTAGTTGCAGCTCTTCTTACTGACTAGTATTGCAGTTATATTCCATAGTAACTGATTATAATTTATTTTTAGTTAATTATTTTTGCTAAAGAAAGGCTGCTTCGTCTTAGCCAATTTTCAGAATTCCCAGACAATATTCAAAAGGGCGTTTTTTCCATTTTCTGGCTTCCTTTTATAACATACAGGCTATAATAAAAAAATCAAATATCATGAAGTTACCTTTTCTTTTTGATTAAAATATTTAAATATTTCTCTGCTTTTCTACAAAGCTTAATATTCTTTTATTTATATATATTCATTTTAAAATTACTGAATCCCTATAAAACCTTTGTTTTTAATTAATGAATCCCTAGAATCTTTGTTTTAAACAGTGATTGCTCTCTAGTAATCTTAATTTGTGTGTCTTTCATAAATAGTAAGTTAATGCATGCATAATAGTACTTGCAACATCAAAATATTTCTATTTTTGTTATCTCTTGGGTTTTTCATTAGCCACTGCTTTTCTAGTATAACAAGATCTACAGGTAGTTTATGTGTATATGTGTTATAATACATATTTTACATATAACTACATATTATTACATATAATGTAATAAATATAAATTTACCTTTTTCATGTATTATCTGTGAAATTTGTATGATGTGGTAGACTAAATATAATAGTGAAGACTTTTTAAAAATTTCATCATTGTTCTACTGATCAAAATCTGGGCTTTGTTAAACAAAATAGCTGTCTTTAATCTTAAACTGGATGTAAATGTGTTTGTAGATTTTCTCAACATGGAAATAGCTGCTTTCTAATTTCCCTCTATGATTCATTCAATGCAACTACAAGCTCATAGAGATAGATTAAAAAATGAATTACAGTAACAAACCTGCACATTCTGCACATGTACCCCAGAACTTAAAATAAAAGCTGAAGAAAAAAAAATTAGACTTATTCGTACATTTAAAAAATGCATTCTATTACATTATATATAACATATATATGAGGTAAAATTATGAAAACATAAATGAAGTAAAAATTTCTTCTATATAATAGAAATATATATTAGGAATTTGTTATATATATAAATATGTATAATAATATATAATATATATATTAGAAAGTTTTACTTCTTCGTCAGAAGGAATAAAGGAAATAGGACAATTTAAGGGCAAATTTAATTCCCTGACATGGATTTCCAAAGTTTTGCCCTAACTTTGGTTGCATGAAAAGATAAGTTAAAAAGGCTCTTACCTTACGCAGGGTATATTGGATTTGTTTTTATATTATGGTACATGGTAGAATGCAAAGGCTAACTAAATTGAGGGCACTTATAATCATTTCAATACATTGTTCCAATATTAAAGAGATATTAAATACCAAGTTTTCTTCAGAAGAATCCATGTAGAGATAAAATGAGAGAATATTTTGTTTAAATATTTTCTACTTTTACTTAAGTTCATATTCACTACACATCTCAGACACACACACAAAAAATTCTAATGCATCTCTATCATTCTCTACAGTCTGGTTAAATTTCTAAAAGTTTTCATTAATACTTAACTAGACTCGTTACACCAAAGATGAAAGCCTAGGAAAAAGAACAGATTTTAAGTAGAGAAATGTCATGTATCTCATTATTCTAATTAGGCTAGAGTTACAGATTTATCTTTTTGCTCAGTAAATACACAAGGGAATCTATTGAAACTACAAAACAAAAGAAAATAGAGAAAAAATTCCTTAGAGACTGCTGTTCAAAAAGTTTATTTATACATATAACAATCTATACAGTCTGTTTTTAAAATCTGGGCAATATGCAACAAAACATTAATTGTTCTCACTCATAAGGCAACGTGAGAAAATCCACTGGGCTAGTTTTTTCAAACAAACAAAAAAAACCTTTCTGTTACTTTCACTAAAAAAAAAAAAAAAAGAAACTCAAAACAAGTGTACAGCAGGTTTGAATATTGCCAAACAAATTCAAATTTAAAATGAGGTTTCAATTGTGTACTGGTAGGATATTGGGTATGCAAGGGTAATCGGTTTAATTATTTTTAAAAGTGTGCTTTTTTATAAATTTGGAAAAAATCAATAGTATTGCATTTGGTTTGCGACATGCAGGTGCAGGATAATTTGAATATCTGAAGCCCGTGAATCGTGTTAATATAAAGACTATACTCAAAATGAGTAAAAAGGATTGGTCGTGTATATTGTCTTTGTAACCAAGCTCTAAAAGGTATTAAACAAAGCCCTCTCCAAGGACCACGAAACATGACTCAAAACAAATGTCATCGAAAACAAATCCAAATGTCTAGTTACTAATGTTTAGACATGAAAAAAAAAAATGCTCACCGTCACCCATTCTTAAGAAAGCATCAGGTCTACTATGGGAATTCAGAGTTTAAAAACAGTCCATACCTACTACTCTTAAACACGAAATACATCAGAACAATTCCTTGGGAAAACAAAAATAAAAACAAATTTCTTCCTTCTTAACTAATTTGTCTTTGAATATTTGTCAAAAAATCAGTTATCTAAACATAATAGGTGTGCTGTATTTCTATACTCTATTTTGTTTCATTGATCTACTTGTTTAAACTAGGGCAATGCTACATTGTACCATTATTCCAAGTATTAAAATCAGATAGTTTTAATGTTCCAACTTTATTATACTCTTCCAAAGATGTTTGACAATTCCAGGTCTTTTGCACATTTCCATATGAATTTAAGAATCAATGATCAATATTTGAGATGATGGATATGCTGACTGCACTGACTTGATCACTATAAATTATATGTATAAAAACATCACTATGTACATCATAAATATGTACAATTATTATATGTCAGTTTAATAAAAATTAAAATGAAATATAAAGGAATAGAAACTACAAATTTACCCTGCTTTTTCTGTACCAACTAGTCCTAAAATTTGTCAACTAGTTGACTAGAAAAAATTCCTCTTTATAGGAATATTCTAGCTAAAAAGAAAAAAACGAAAAATGAATAACAGAAAGTCATAATTTTGCAACCTTTAAGTAACTGATAGATGAGGGTGAAGATTATTAGCAGCTGTTAACATCACTACAAATAATAGTAAAATTAAGTTAAGAGATCACTAGATATTTTATGCCTCCCAATGGAAGAACACGACATCACTAGAGAAGTATTCTTTTTTTTTTTTTAATTAATTAATTAATTTATTTTTTATTTTTATACTTTGAGTTCTAGGGTACATGTGCATAACGTGCAGGTTTGTTACATATGTATACTTGTGCCATGTTGGTGTGCTGCACCCATCAACTCGTCAGCACCCAACAACTCGTCATTTACATCAGGTATAACTCCCAATGCAATCCCTCCCCCCTTCCCCCTCTCCATGATAGGCCCCGGTGTGTGATGTTCCCCTTCCCAAGTGCAAGTGATCTCATTGTTCAGTTCCCACCTATGAGTGAGAACATGCGGTGTTTGGTTTTCTGTTCTTGTGATAGTTTGCTGAGAATGATGGTTTCCAGCTGCATCCATGTCCCTACAAAGGACACAAACTCATCCTTTTTTATGGCTGCATAGTATTCCATGGTGTATATGTGCCACATTTTCTTAATCCAGTCTGTCACTGATGGACATTTGGGTTGATTCCAAGTCTTTGCTATTGTGAATAGTGCTGCAATAAACATACGTGTGCATGTGTCTTTATAGCAGCATGGTTTATAATCCTTTGGGTATATACCCAGTAATGGGATGGCTGGGTCATATGGTACATCTAGTTCTAGATCCTTGAGGAATCGCCATACTGTTTTCCATAATGGTTGAACTAGTTTACAATCCCACCAACAGTGTAAAAGTGTTCCTATTTCTCCACATCCTCTCCAGCACCTGTTGTTTCCTGACTTTTTAATGATCGCCATTCTAACTGGTGTGAGATGGTATCTCATTGTGGTTTTGATTTGCATTTCTCTGATGGCCAGTGATGATGAGCATTTTTTCATGTGTCTGTTGGCTGTATGAATGTCTTCTTTTGAGAAATGTCTGTTCATATCCTTTGCCCACTTTTTGATGGGGTTGTTTGTTTTTTTCTTGTCAATTTGTTTGAGTTCTTTGTAGGTTCTGGATATTAGCCCTTTGTCAGATGAGTAGATTGCAAAAATTTTCTCCCATTCTGTAGGTTGCCTGTTCACTCTGATGGTAGTTTCTTTTGCTGTGCAGAAGCTCTTTAGTTTAATGAGATCCCATTTGTCAATTTTGGCTTTTGCTGCCTT